ATGGTTGCTGTTGAACCCAGCTTAGAAGATATAGTTCGATTTTGAGAATGCATATGAAGTAAGATGTAAACTCACACAAGCATCCTCAGATAGTCAGACACCAACATATATTCGAGAATAGGCCCTTTGGTTGTCTTAAGAATGATAGACAACCAACCAGAAGTCATAGAGTACCCTTGGCTGTCCTATATTTGTCATTGTTTTGCTAGTTTTATATGTATTTTACGGTTTGGATAGTTTTGGCACGTTTTTTCCCGATTTTTTAGGAATCTAACAACATTGTTTATGATTCAGTCTCTGAATTCATCATCTCGAGCACTTCTCATGGCAAAGTTGGACCGCAGTGGCACTGCATCTAGGTTTGCCTCCAATCCTGTAGTTATTTTATTTATAAGTTATTTGTCTGACAATGTGTCTCTATTTGCAGTATTACTGGCTCCATAGGCATGCCTTTTAATAGCACCAGCCATAGTGCTACAACAGCACCAATCCTCGGTGCTGCACCTTTGGCACAATCCCTCGTTCCTGCTACTCTACAGGCCTCTATTCCTACCATTTCTGGACTTCCAGGTGGTCTACAAATCCCTACTAACGGCATCCCTATTATTGACACGATTGGAGTCCCTAGCGAATGCCTTTTGTTGAAGAATATGTTCGATCCGAGTCTCGAGGTTGGTATTGTAGCTAGAATTGCGTAGAGTTTCTTTTTAATGTTTTTGTCTAATCATATAGTATTCTTGTGACAGACGGAACCCGATTTTGACTTGGATATCAAAGAAGATGTTAAAGAAGAATGTTCAAAATTTGGAAAATTGAAGCATATCCATGTAGACAGGTAATTCCTCGTAACCTGCCGCCTTTTCTTTGTTGCATCTCATTTTTAAGAAGAAAAAATCATTGTTCCCTTGAACAGGGACAGTGCTGGGTTTGTCTACTTACAATTCGAAGATATGCAAGGTGCGATAAACGCACAACGGAACCTACATGGAAGATGGTTCGCCGGAAAAATGATCACCGCCACATACATGGTGCCACAAACCTACGAAGCGAAGTTTCCAGATAGTAACAAATAGTTGAATGGTATGTATATAACCCGACACTATCTTAAATCAAGAGGGTTATATCTCTGTTGGGAACTATATACAGTACAAAGATATATCAGCAGGGAAGTAATTTGTATGGTAACTTTAAAAAAAAACTATATTTGGAATTAGATGCACTAATTTCATATTTCTGTCTGATTAATATACCAATCTGTGGTACCTTGGCTAAATGTGTAAATTATGCGTTTAGTACCTAAACTATTAGTTTTGATATGTTTTAGTATTTGAACTTTCAATTTTTTTTATAACCATACCTAAAGTTTGGTTTTTATTTCATTTTAGTACCCACCTTAAAGGCTTTAGTTTTTGTTTTATTTTAATACATGCTCAAAATTTAACGTTAAGTTTTGAAATAAATTAATTATATTCTTATTAAAATTAAAATTAAATAATAATAAAGGATTAATTGTTGATAGGTCATTATATTTTTTAATATTTATTTAATAAGGTGTGCATCGGTATGTCACATTAGTGGTGTATTTCAGTGTACAACTTGCACTCTAGGCTCATCATTCTATTAGTTGGTAAATTTTCTAGATAAAAATAATATTAATGTTTAGAAAAAAAATAATATTATTATTTTTAAAATATTAAAATAATTTTTTAATATTATTTATGTTAATATTTTTTAGAATATTATTTCTATAATTTTATAAATAAAAATTATGAGTAGTATATTTTTTAAAATAAAATATTATAAAATATAAGTCTAGGTACTAAAATGGATAAAAATTAATAGTTTAGGTACTAAATGTGTTAAGTTTTTAATGTGGGTATTAAAATGAAATGAAAATTAAATGTTAGGTATGATTTTGAAAATATTAAAAGTTTAGGTATTAAAATTGATATTTAGGTGCTAAATTAATGTTATGAAACATCATTGTTTTGTTCTTTTTAATGGTAATATTATCATCAGTTTTGGTCAGATTATTTGAAAGGTTTGTTTTCTTACGATTTAGTATTTCTTTAATTATTTCTTTTATAATTTGATCATTTATAGTTTTTTTTTTTGTTACAAATGATTAGTTTTTTTAATTAGTTAACGGATAAATTACATCTCTGGTTAAAAATATTACATAAATTTGCATGATAGAATTAACATAAATGAAGTCAATTGAACTTTTTTTAAAAAAAAAGTGATTGAACAATCATGAACGATACAAAACCTTTGAAACCAAGGTATGTTTAGGTAAAGGGTACAAAATTACCAACGGAGTTTCGTAGCATAGCTCTAAGATTTTGTAAAGCTTTGAACCCAAACCAGGCATCATGCAGCCGAACTCAACCCAAATGACTTGACAATGGTGCTCACTCCATCTGAAAAAGTTCTGGATGCATTCTTTTTACTGGGAACGTGAAATGGGTTCCAGACGGCATCGACATATGCAGAGCGTGGAACCTCCTGAAAAACTTTACATTTGAAAGCAAAAATGAGTCTGGTTCCATAATAGAAGTCCTTGAACCATGTAAGAATGATCATTTTGGTAAGCAACCTTTCGAATGTTACAAAATGGTCTTTAAACTTGTCAAACTATTACCAATGGACCTTAAACTTTATCAGAATTTATTACTATTTTAATGTCGCAAGAGACCATTTTGCAACCCTTAGAAAGTTGGAAAAAGGGTAACTTTTGCCCTTGTAGTAGAATCAACTTATCAATTTCGCCCCTATCATATTTTCGCATCAATTTAGCTCTGTAAGTTGCTCAATTGCATCATTCTATGTCCTACCCCCAACTTAAAACCTTATATTATAAACCATAACACCATAACCTCTAAACCTTAAACCCTAATTTAGGAATTATGATTTAGGATTTTAAATTAGGGGTAGTAGGATATAGAACGATGCAATAAACAACCTTGAATGACAAAGGTGCCCTTAAGCCTAGAAAGTTAAATGACCATTTTGTAACAAGTTAAAGGTCAATGACCAAAAAGATCATTTTTACATTGTTCAAGTGTACTTTACCCTAAAATGTTCAACAACCATTCCTTGATAACATTCCTCCACTTTAAGATGCATAATTACTAGCAACGCAACATCCTGTTAACTTCATCACCGATATTCATCCAACAAGATAACATAGAACAATCAAAGCTACAGTTCTATCGAGTAATTTTAGCCACCTCATCCGAAACAATAACAAATAATACAATCCCACATGGTTAAATCTACAATAGAGCCTATAAAAAACTAGGAACTCAGCAAATATGCATAGCTAAAATATGTTTAGTTTCAGCAGAAACAACCACCGAAATTTCCTGGAGTTTCTATAGAACTTAAAAGTTTACCCCTCCAGATTTCCCCGTTCTATTATTTCCATAGATTGTCATCATCTCAGACTGGAGAGTACAGCCTTGCATTACCTCTAGATGACAGGCTTATAGCTAAATCCATTCAATACCGATATAAACTCAATGCAACACTAGGGCACGCATGCTTTCTAGATTACCAATGTTCTTAAAACATAGCTATACAGTATGGAGCCATAGTGTCGAAAGCTCTGATTACGATAAGCGATGACGGAGAGGCGAATAAATATACCACGAGAAACAAAGCATCACTACAAATCAATATTGTCCATCTCCGCCGCATAAAGCAAACAAAATCGAAATAATAGATTCATAGGCTTATAATACAATCCTAAACTCCTACCATCATTGTCAGGAACAGAAATACTTACATTTCTGACATCGGCATCTCTAACATCTAAATCAGTTTTCACTAAAATGAACTTCACCTTCGTGTTAGTTAAATAACCATAGCTGCATCCAACACCACCATACACAACAAGTTAGACTTTGCAACACTCACAAATCACAACATCATAAGAGCTCCAAATCAAACGAAAAACGAAGTATTGAAGTTAACTTCTTACACTTTATAATTTTCAGTAGGATAAAGCAAGCCCAAGAACGTCTCGTTCAATGTCGGCCGGATTTTTTTCGGATTGTTCACCACAAATATATATATATATATATATATAAACAATAGTATGATCCATAACCTTATCGATCTGTTCGATTTTAGTCCTTCAACCATTAATTTTTGTTAACCTCCTTTTGTCTAAGTCCATAAAATGCCTGAGGGATTAAAATCAAACGAGAGTTAGCGATTGAGGGACTAAAATCAAATAGATTGATAATGTCAGGGACTAAAATCAAATAGATCAATAACATTAGGGATCATTCTCTCTTAATTTTTAAATTAGTGACCAAAGTCGATCGTACCAAAAACATAGGGGACTATCTACATAGTTTATCCATAACTATTTAATAAAAAATTAATAGATTTGTTTCCTATTTTGTAATAATTTGAGAAGTTTAATGATGATTTTGTAACAGAAATTGTTTTTGATAAAAAAATGTTATTTTGATATAATTCAATGACCTTGATATATTTTATATTAAGAATTATAATAATGTCATATTATAAATTAGGATAAAATATATAAAAAGTTATTAAGCTAATTGTAATATGATACTTCAAACATATCAAAAGTTGGATTGATTTCGATTCAATTAAATTAAGGATAAACTATGCATTGGATACCTAAGTTAACAGTTTTAGTCTGTTTTAATACTTAAATTTTATTTTTTTTAAAGTATATCAAACGTTTAGTTTTTGTTTCATTTTAGTATTCGTTCAAAATTTAACTTTAAGTTTAAAAAATTAAAAATTTAGGTACTAAAACGGACCAAAACTAATAATTTAGATACTGAACGCGTTAAGTTTTTAACGGCACGATACTAAAATAAAACAAAAAATAAACATTATATATGATTTTATAAAAATTGAAAGTTTATGTATTAAAACAGACCAAAACGGATAATTTAGGTACTAAATACATAGTTTACCCTTAAATTAAAGTCAAAATCTTCAATTAGTCCCTAAACTATGCATAAACCATGAAATTAAGAAATCAAAACCTCTATAGTGGCTTTCTTTGCTGTAGTACAAAGAGGGCAACAATCAAGAAAAGCTGCACAATCTTGGCATGAACAAAGATGTCTGCAAGGAAGGAACAAAACACACGAGCTTCGAGAATCGCAACATTTGCACACCATTAATGTCTTCTTCTTCGTTTCGACAAATCCTCCGTTGTCGTTCTCTTCCTCTGTTTCTCCACAGCAAGACTCCGCATCATCGTTGAAACAACACCCGGCTTGGTCTTGTTGTAATTGTTCGAGCGTGTTTTTCAAAGAAACGACGATCGCTTCGTTCTCTTGCGCCACTCTTCGCAATGCTTGATTCTCCATCTCCAGTCTGTTCAAGAGATTTTGAAGCTCCATTGTCCTGTTCGCTGCTTTCGCGAGCTCTGCTTCTTTGTGGTTGAATAAAAGAGTTGCCTTCGATTCTAGCTTTTCCGCCATTAACGAAACTTGCCGCTTTCTTTGCTCTTGCAGTAAGAATCTCAATCTCTCATTCTGGGGGGGGGGAATCAAAACCTCAATCATAAATCTGGTAAAAAGAGGACAATAGCTTCGTGATATTTACACATACGCTCAAATTCTAACCTGGGAATTGATGAACTGATCAATCGATTCATCACTTTCTTCAAAACAAAAACTTTGATTTCCAGGCTGCTGGATTTGAAGCTGCTGCTGTTGCTGTTGTTGTTGTTGTAGTTGTTGATTGCCGAAACAGAATTGATTAAACCCACCGTTACCATTACCATCAAGGGAACAGCACAACGGAAACCCGATATTATCCGAATACAACTGAGCTTGTATGGCCATCTTCTTCAACCTTCAACCTTCAACCAAACAAAGAAAAAACCGAAACTTTTTTCTCCAGGAAACCTCTTTCCTTTTCACACAGAGAGAGAAAACGAAACGAAAGTGGAGGGTGATGGGTTATATTTATAAGGCCGAGATGAGAGTTATGAACATGTAAACATTATATAATATTAATTCCTGGCTTAATTTTCTGTCTAATTAAACAACTACGTACACATGCAGATTTTGTGACTAAACTGTCGGGTCAGAGATTTTAGAGGGCATCTGTTTTGCTTGCCTTTGAATCAAAATTATACATAAAAATGGAATTTCTAAAGTGGATATATTTTATCAAATTGGGTGAATTAAAATTAAACTAAAACACTTGAATCGGTCAAATATTTTTTATTTTCTTTATTTATAGAATTGGATTCTCATCATGGCTCTCCCTTATTTATTTATTTTTTATAGAATTTTATAACAGTTTAATCTAATAATTGTGAACATTTATTTTGGTCTCTATAGTAGATTAAATTTAGACAGAAGGGTAATTTTTGTCCTCGTTGTAGACCTAATTTATCAATTTTATTCCTATCGTATTTTTGCATCAATTTAACCTTCGAAGTTGTTTCAATTGCATCATTCTATACCCTACCTCTAACTTAAAATTCTAAATTACAATCACTAAACCCTAAACCCTAACCATATAACATCTCAATCATGCATTCTAAACTCTAAACCTAACTTAGGGTTGCTAATTTAAGGGTTTAAGTTAGGAGTAAGGTATAGAATGATGCAATTAAACAACTTCGAAGACTAAATTGATGTGAAAATACGATAGGGGCGAAAACGATAAATTGGGTCTACTACGGGGGCAAAGGTGACTCCTAAGCCTTAAATTTATCATTTCCGTCACTATCGTATTTTACATCGATTTAACCCTCAAAATTATTTAATTGCATAATTCTATATCCTACTCCCTAATTTAAAACCCTAAATTATAAACTATAAGTTAGGGTTTAGAGGTTATTGTTTAGGGTTTATAATTTATGGTTTTAAGTTAGGGGTAAGATATAAAATGATACAATTGAACAATTTCGAGGATTAAATTGATGCGAAATACGATAAAGACGAAAGTAATAAATTAAGTCTACAACAAGAGCAAAATTTACACCTTTTACTATTTTATTGCACCATTATTAAGCACTCTTAATATACATAGTTTAATCTAATTAAGAAAATCAATTGTGCTCAGCCATAGTTGAGTATTTAATTAGTTTGGTCACAATCAGTGGTGGTTTAGTCCGTTTGATTGATGACCTAAAATTAATTATAAAATAAATCTTTTCGAACTGATAAAAATAAGGGTAAATTACACCAATCATCATTGAACTTTACTCTTTTTTTTTACTCACAATACTTTAAGGTCGTTTACTTTTTTCACTGGCTTTAATACATTTTATTTTTTCTGATCAGTCATCATTAAATAGTTAACGTCGTAAAACGATGCAATTTTAGAAAAATGAAAATTTCACCAAAATGACATTGTTTTGTATTTATATAACAATCAATTTATAACGCCGTTAGTAAAAAAACGACAGAGTGACCAAAAAAACCAAATGTATTAAGTTCAGTGAGAAAATTGAATAGATTTAAAGTATAGTGAATGGAATATGAGAGAATTAAATGCAGTGATGATTGGTGTAATTTACCCTAAAAGTAGAATTGTAAAATCTTTATTAGTCGTAAATATTGACCGTTCAATCATCTAATTGTAAATTAATTTATCCTCCCTATTATTTCATTAATCTATTTAAATAAAGTCAGAAATATGGGTGAAATTAATTTTTCAATGAATTAAAATATTTTTCATATAATCCAACATTTAAATTTGGGTTGGTTTCTGATTTTCGTCCATTAATGCTGTTCGCTAAAGATAACAATAATTTTATGCATATCTTCTAAAGGTTTAACTCTGTCTTCAGTCCTTGTACGTTTCAGACTTTGAAAACTACTCCTTTGATTAGTTCTAGGAATTTATTCTTTGTCTAATTTAAAAATCAAAATCCAATCGATAAACGTCATTAATTCTAGGATAAAGTACATAAATGGTCCTTTGACTATGGGATAATGCTTTGCTGAGTCTTTTGACAATTAAAAATTACAAAATGGTTCTCTGACTATAGGAAGTTACTTTGTTGAGTCCCTCGACTATTAGAAGTTACAAAATGGTCATCTGACTATCAATTATGTTCCAAACTTGTCCTTTTATGTTAAAATTTTGATGGCAATATGAGTAGTACGTTAACTTATTGATTGAAATATGATAAAAGCTGATCGCATAATCTCAAATTAATATCATATCTCAATCAACATTTTAACATCCAACTCAGACGACCATTCAATTTTTAACAGAAAATTTGGAACATAATGAATAGTCGAGTGACCATTTTATAATTTCTAATAGTCGAGGGACTCAACAAAACAACTCCCTATAGCCTAGGGATCATTTTGTAACTTTTTATATTCAAAGGACTCAATAAAGCATTATCTTATAGTATGGGGACCATTTATGAACTTTACCCTTAACTTTAATGGAAACTCATTAATAAAATTAGTGATATCGATTAAACTTTAATTATTAAATCAAATGAGTAGATGGTCTAGACTCTGAAAGTCCAAAGAGTTGAAGGAGTAGGGCAGAATTAAACCTCTTCCAAATGGTGAAATTATGAGTTTCTGAAATTGTCAAACAAGGCAAGGGAAGGTAATTTTCACGTACAAGACAAATATTTGTCTAGAAGAATCATTTGTAAAAAAGGCGTGTAATGTTCCGAACCCATAACTCTCTAGTACTCCACATGGACAAACCTTGTTGTGTTTGGTAACCAGGGATGATATCATAATTTTACGTTAGGTAATAAATTTAAACATATAAAATTTTAAGGAATCAAAAATATATTTTAATAAAAAATACATTTAAAAATATAAAATATAAGATGATTTTAAAATTTCACGATATGACTATTTTGACCCATTAGGTCAATCCCTATTTATGAAAACACGGTTATTAAGGATTTTTGTTTTTTAGGACGTACTGTTATTTTCACGTATGAAATAAAGGGTAGCAAACGGCAAAATCTTTAGTTTGAAAGCAATGTTTCCGTTTGGATTGGAGTAGGAAGCAGAGGGGAAACTTATGGCGAGGTGAGAGAGAAACAGCACATCGGCACTAAGAATTTGTGAAATGTGTAAAGTTTAGTTATTTTTTTATACACAAATTATCAGTTTTGATCTATTTTAATATTTAAAATTTTAAATTTTCAAAATAACATTTAAAGTTTAGTTTTTGTTTTATTTTGATACCCGTCGTTAAAAATTTTAGTACCTCCGTTCAAAATTTAACTTTAATTTTTGAAAAAATTAAAAATTTAAGTACTAAACACGTTAAATTTTTAACGACATGGTATTAAAAATGTGAAGACACCAAGACCAAAAGTGTTTGCAAAAGGACCAAAAGACAATTCAATCTGGTATTTGGTGCTAACAAATGCAGCTTCCCAACTAATTCTCTTTGCTTTTAGGCAAAGTGGTTTAGTGATATTGACCCAAGTCCCATAATGGAGGGCCGTCCCCACTTCAGAGCTTGTGTTCGAGTGGTGCATGCCGAGAGCCTATGGCTAAAGCTATCAACGTACATAGAGACAGAGGTTGAATTTTATGCGAGGGGGATGGATTTTTTAAAATTTAAGAATAGTCAAGTTTATAAAATTAGAAGGGCAAATGTAAAATTTCAATTAAAAATACATAAAAAATTTAAAATATATAATAATTTTAAATTTTTAAAAATGATTGTGCCGTCTGTCCCTCGATCCGTCGTTGAGAGCATAGGGCAAAAAGGTCGCCGAGCTTTTTGTCCATGTTTTCTATTTGATAACGACGTAACCCTCTTTTTCTTAGTTTCTTGTGTAGGAAACACGGCTTTGCTTTGTTTTCTTTTTCAAGTGAAATAACTTGGAAAGAGGGGAATATAAATCATGAAAACCCATGTTTTGTCCGGTTCAAACTTGATAATTTGTATTGATAAATATCTGGGTAAAGTACACAGATGGTCCCTGACTATAGGATACTTCTTTATTAAGTCCCTATATTACTAAAAGTTACAAAATAATCATCCAACAATGGAATGTTGCTTTATTAAGTCCATCGATTATTAAAAGTTACAAAATAGTCATCTGGCTATTCATAATGTTCTAAACTAGTCGTTGAACATTAACATGATGATTGAGATACGATAGTCATTGGAGATTTCAGGATAAATTTTATCATATCACAGTCAGTAGGTTAACGTTCAACTCGGAATACCATCAATTTTAACTGAAAATGACGAGTTTGAAACATAATGAATAGTAATGTGACCATTTGTAACTTTAATAGTTGAGGACTCAACAAATCAACACTCTATAGTCGAATGACCATTTTATAAGTTTTAATAGTCGAGGGACTTAATAAAATAGCACCCTATAGTCGGGATCATTTGTGTAATTTACCCTAAATTAAAATTGCATTTAGCATCCATTTTCTTGGAAGCACATGAATTGCGCCAAAAACATTTTCACTTGGGCAGGTGGGGCTTGTTTTTTCTACGTGCCTTAATTAGGCATGCATTGACAAATGACAAAATCCACCCTGAATTAGGGGATTTTATTCACTTTTATCATTTGTTAAGACATTAAATAATAGGCGAACGATTAACCACTCCTACTTTCTTTGGTTTAATTCAAATTCCATTTTGAGTTCTCAACCTAATTCTTCAAATCATTTCTAACTGCTGACCAAACTCAAATTTCAACGTATAACTATAAGGGTAAAGTACACAAATGGTTTTCGACTATAGGATACTATTTTATCAAGTCCGTTGACTATTAAAAGTTATAAAATAATTTATTGACTATAGGGAGTTGCTTTGTTGAGTCACTAGACTATTAAAAGTTACAAAATGATCACTCGACTACTCATTATATCCTAACTTGTCATTTTCAGTTGAAAATTAACGGTTATCTAAGTTGGACATTAACATGCTGACTGAGATACGATAGTCATTTGAGATTATGATAACATATTTTATCATATCTCAATCAGTAAGTTAATGTATAACTCATTATGTCGTCAAATTTCTTACGAAAAATGATGAGTCTGGGACATAATGAATAGTTGAATGACTATTTTGTAACTTTTAATAGTTAAGGGACTTAACAAAGCAACTTTTTATAGTCGGGGATCATTTTATAACTTTTAATAGCTAGATACTTAATAAAGCAAGGATAAAGTATACAAATGGTCCCTTGACTGTAGGATATTGCTTTATTAAGTTCCTCAAATATTAAAGGTTACAAAATAGTCCTCCAATTATATAGTGTTGCTTTGTTAAGTCTCTCGACTATTAAAATTTACAAAATGGTAAATCGACTATTCATTATGTTCCAAACTCGTCATTTTTCATTAAAAAAATAACAATATGATGAGTTGAACATTAGCATTCTGATTGCGATATGATAAAATATGATCATAGAAGCTCAAACGACTATCATATCATAGTTATCTGTTAACGTCCAACTTCGACAAACGTTAATTTTTAACAAAAAATGATGAGTTTGAAACATAATAAATAGTTATATGACCATTTTGAAACTTTTAATAGTCAAAAGACTTAAAAAATAATATTTTTTATAATTAGAGGACCATTTTATAATTTTAAATAATTGAAGAACTTAATAAAATATTTCTCTATAATAAATGTACCATTTGTGTACTTTATCCATTAAGCGAAATCATATAGTCAAGGTATAGAACTTGAATTGTTTAGTTGGAGCACGGAGGCTGCACCTGCACCTTAATCGAGGTCCCATCCTCGTGTGACCCACCGCCACCCTTTGCATTTATTAAAGCCGTATCATGTGAACCAGCTATCCCCAATTGCCCACAATTTCAGACTTCAAATGGCATATTCATAATCATGACCGCTCCCATTGTTCAAATGTCACAAACAATCACGATTGAGGCATGAAACGAAATGAAGGTCTACTCATGGTGCGACATAAATCTACTTAAATCCAGGAGACGATGACCCATCAAATTTGTCGACTTTCTTAGAGAGTTTAAATAAAGATAATTTAATTTAAAGTCGAGAAAAAATGTGATTGAAAATGTTATTATTTTTATAATATTTATTAGTTGCATTTAGTTTTTTATTATTTTTTAATTTTAAATTAGATTAACGTAGAATAAAACTATCTCATTCACGGTATGCATCTTGGGACCATAAACACACATGCAAGCCGTGTTAATTGTGACAAATATTTATGTAATGAAAATTATCATTCAAATCGGAGATAGCATATTGGTCCCGGATGTGTAGACGAGTATTAATGCGTAACGTCTCCATTGTCGTTATTCATGCATGTCTACATAAAAATTTAGGTTCATACATGTACCAATAATACCAAAGTCCATGAAATTATAAATATAGTGATGGCAAATATCGTTATGAAACCTTTGATTGATGTTACTTTTAAATCTGATTCGAGAATTATTAATTTTAGATCCGATTCGAGTATTATTTATACTATTTATCTTTAAAAGGTTAATAAATTATCTTCGTGTGTATAAGACATGCAGATGTTTACTTTCTAACGTAATTGAAAGCCAGAAAATGGAAGCAATGAGTAACTTGTTGAAAACGAATTGGAAAAACCATTCAATGAAGCATGATCACAAAACCAGTACTCTTATATCCTTTTAGACTTATTTCCCATTTTTGTGATGATATATACGATAATGTATATGAGATGATCGCTCTCTTGTTAGGGTTTTGAGCCATGCATTGCATTCTGCAACTCATGAAGACAGTAAATAAAATACTGCTCGTGATGGTTTAAAACTATGGTTCCCAATGCTCGATCATCATCATCATCACGTTACAGAAGAAAAAAAACAAGAGTTGCAATATGTCAGGTTTCTCTTTACCGACACACGCAACTCATGTTTACTGTAGACTATAGTGTTTTCTTTAATGGAGGTGTCTCAGTTTGGGCAGTCTGCCTCTGCCCACTCATCCTTTTTCAATGCTCTTCACGAAATATATATATGTGCTTTGCTTTGCATTGAGTGCTGCTCGTGCTGCCTTGACCTACTGTGCATAAATATATATTTTCAGTCTGTCTGTTTATGATGCTTTATTCTAGGATATAAATAGCTGATATTTACACATGCTATCTTTATGGAGAAATTGTGGTTTTAGTCCTTCATGATGTTAAAGTTTAAGATTGGATCTTTGTGTTTTGATTTGGCTTAATACTAAAAAAAATACTTAAACTATGCTTTTTTTGCTTTAGGTACCTTCACTATTTTTTTGGTCAAACTAGATACTTAAATTATTATATGTAGCCACTTTCAACCCTCATTCAATGGTGTAGAAAACTTGAACGAAAGCCCTTGTCATCTTTTGTTTGAATCTCCCCGTTAATGGGGTCGTAACGTTTCTTTGAAGTAAGCAAGATCTGCTTTTTTATTTTTCCAAGTTTGACCAAGAAGCACAGTTCCACCATTATAACTTAGCCACCAACAAAGGCATTGACCCTGACCCTGACCCTTCTTTTATTTATTTTCTTTTTCTATTGGGTACCAGGTTTTTCTCTCTTCTGAGGTTTGAAAATTAAGCAAGATAATGGATCGGTTTTGTTGAAAATGACTAATCCAAAGTAGACTCCATATAACAAGAGACTCGAGACACCGATGCTATTGCAGATTCTTGATCTATATATGTATCAAAGGCCAGTTTAACTATACTGCTGTAAAGCTAGTATACGATGGCTGCTTGGGAACAAGACAAGAGTCTCTAATGCTACGTGACTCAAAGAACAAGAGTACCGAGTAAATCTACAACATGAAGACGAACAAAGATTCAAAAGGAATTTCAAGATCTAATAGTTATTGAATCCTCAAAACCAACTACAATTTGATACTTGATAGCCACATTTTGCTTTCCAAAGTATACATCTTGCAGCCTTCCTAAACAGGATGCCTATGGCAAAAGCAAGCTTTCTGTGCTTAGTCGATGCCATGCAAAACAGGAATAGGAATGGCTGAAAGCGATGCAAGCCAACCTGCAGCCTCCCATGTGAATCACATGCTACATCTACAGTGAGTATAAGCTGTAAACACCCACTAGGGGCTCGCGGGGCTGAAACATCAAAGATATTCCATCTTCCCTAGTTCTGTAATTCAGCAATAAAAGAATCCACGAAGCTTAGAGAGAGTACCATAACCTCAACCCAAGCAAAAGGTGAAAACAAAAAAACGCCATTCCACACAACAGAAAGCACAAATAAATCCTCAAGCAATAAATCCTCAAGCAAGGTGAGTAAGAAGATGAGATAAGGCCTTTTATTCACTTGAATTTAGCTTGCTAAGAAATCAGACTGTCGGTCAAACGATCGTAAACGGTACAATGTATACAAATCCAGAGTTTGAGCTTTACAAGTCTGTCTGCTTTAAACCATAAACTAAGAAGACCATCAACCAACCTCTAATAACCCATAAGTAGGGTTAAAAACCAAAAACAATGAGCAGACACTGAAAAAGATAATCAAAAAGCAATGCACCTGAGGGAAGAAGGTTATGCATCCCAAGGAAAAAGCCTTTTGGAAGACATATTTAAACTCCATGGACATAAACTAAAACCACAGCAAACCTATAATGACCCATTATTAGGGTTAAAATGACAGCACAAAATGATAAAAGGAATAATAAAAAAGCAATGCAACCTGAGGCAAAAAGGTGTTTCATCCCAAGAAAACTGCTTGTTAAGGACTGGATAATGCTCATCTCAACAGTTTTTCAGCCAGCTGTAGCTCGTCGAACTCCTACCAAGAAAACGAATATCAGTATCATAGCCAAAGCATACTCGAAAGCAGAGTGCTACACATTGTATGCAGCAAGAATCAGTTTGGAAACAGCCAATACAGCTCACAATATTCAGAAGTTCCAACATCTTCTAAGTAAGGCTCGTGCACCACAAGGATTTGGGCATTTCATACATTCAACAACAAATATGCTACTTTTCTTTAAAACATATAGCACTCACCATTTTTTAGCTTTGAACAACTAATGCAGCTATAAAACAACCCCTAAATATTCAAATAATGTTCCATCAGTCGCACGAATAAAGTGACATTGGTGGGAAAGGAAATGTTATTATTCCTTAAGGTTCCGGGTTCGAGCATCAGGCATGTCAGGGATGTGAGCGTCCAATGTCAAATGGTTAAAAATTATCTTTGAACAGATACTGCCTTGTATTTGCTCTAGATTAATAAAAGAAATGTTTCATCAGTCATTTTAGTCCTCATTTCTAAAGCAAATGTTCTCTCATTCCTCTATTAATCATTCTAAAATTTAATAATTGATGTCATTATAAACCAGAATTACCATATGGTTGACATGCTTAGAAGTTAGAACAACAAACAAACTATATATAGTTATAGCAAATAACTTCAACATAACAAGAAAAATACTCCTTATAGCAGCCTTGACCAGGTACAAGAACAACAAATTGAGCAAAAAAAAACACCTAGAAGATTAAAAACACCAAGCCACAACTAGATAAGTAAATAACTACAAGCAATATAATAGTTACAGATGATAAAATAAATTAAGAGAAACTAACTTTCCAGTATTTATCATAAACTATATAAAGAAATTAAGAGAAAGAACTCTAAATTTTACCTTTCCTCCTTTTATTGCCAGAAGAATTGCCTTTTGACCCTGCACTTCCAACCCCACCTGTAGAAAGCTCCTCTGCTCCAGAGTCATGGTTAGCAAAACACTGATAGTTGTCAATGTCACACCCATTAAATCCTTGCCCATTCAAGGCTGCATCTTCTCCTGCTCTACTTTCAACTCCAGGATGAGGGCAAAACATCTGATCATTGCATTGTACATTGCAAGGATTCATCACATAAGCACCAGGAACGTTCATCGGGTTAACAGTAGTGGCTGGTTTCTGATACGGAAACGATCCGATCTCGCCTTCAATTCTTCCTCGGATATTGACAAGCAGACACTTAAGCCTTGCAACCTCAGCCTCCAATGCAGCCTGACCTTGCAACCTCTTCAACAGCTGCTGGTTCACAGCCCTCAATCTCATAACCTCATCCTCCAACGAGGCGGCTCGCGCCTTAACCTTCTCCCTATACTTCCTGGCAGCTTCTCGATTACCCAGAGGATGTTTCTTCGATTTCTCCTTAGACCCAGCAGTGTCATCACTAGCAGTCCTGTCTTCAGTTGAGGCAGGCACAATTTTGGTATGAACATGGAAACATGTATGTGTATGAGAGTTATCAGGACCAGGTGGGTTGCACGTATGTGTATGGGTACAGGCATGAGAATCATTCAGCAATTCATCGAAAAAACTGTCCATTGAACAACTGCTTGGAATATCACCCATATCATTCCCGGAAAACACTTCCTGGTTCGAAAAATCAAGCTCCCCGTCGTCCATTACAGGCAGAAAACCTAGGTGAATCTAAGGTAAACACTTGAATGCAAATAAGGAGAGACCAATGTTCGATTTTGAAACTGACCCAGATAATAAATTGTGCTCAATTACTAAATTGCAGGGAAAAAAGTCTTACTCAGATTGAACAACCTGGGATGGCCCGAACAGATCGATAAAATAAAGGTTCAAGAATAAACCAAAGCAAAGAATGGAGGACAGAGCAGCAATGTTACCAGATATTCGACAATTCGAAACCCTAAAATATAAATGGCGGCTTAAAAAAGGGCACAAAGACTTGATAGCGAATTAGAAGAAAAGTGATGATTGGGTACCAAGAAAGTGAAATCTTTTACAAGAGAGCAAAAATCTGAACTTTTTTTTTTTAAATTTAACAAAAAAGGTCAATAAAATTGTGAGTTTATGATCCTGAAATGGACGGACCAGAAACAGAGCATAGTTTCAAGGAGTATTATAGTATTATCTTAAGTAATATCATATATTTTTCAAAAAAAAAAAAAATATTTACTCAATTTTAAATTATAATTAATATTACTAAATTTGTAACCTTACCACGTTAACTATAATTTTTAACGATTCTGTTAATCAAAACTGTTTAACATTAATGATTGGATTAATTAATATGTTAAATGAACATTTATACTAATTAAGAGTTAAAATTAGCAGTTATAGATTTTTTTAAACACCCTTACTGTGAATTTACAATAGAAGTATGATAAAAAATATTTTATAAACATCCGATTGTTCAAGTACATCAACTTTATACAACTAAAACAAGATTAAGGTTAACAAGTACATAAAAGTACATAATGAAAATCAACTAGAACAACCTTGTACATTACATTAAACTATGACACTTTGTTCTTTCCTATTTCACTAACTGTACTTTAAATTCGTTCGATTTTCTCACTAAATACATTTGATTTTTTGGTTACTTCGCCGTTAAATAGTCAACGGCGTCAAAATAACACCGTTTTAGAAAAATGAAAATTTCTCCAAAATGACATCGTTAACTCACGATTCTCCCGTAACAACATATTATTTTTTATCATAACTTTGAGAAGAATATTATTTTCATATTTATCTCCATCAATCCAACAAAAGAATTTACATTTATCTTCTTGCACCACATTTCATAAATCCAGTTCAAAATAATAATAAAAACTCATTACCATTATCACAAATTTCATAATAGTGTCACATATCATCAATCCATGAAGAAGAAATAACCTAGAACCAATTTGGGCAATCAAAGAATAGTTGGCCTTTGGTAAATTCTTTTATGAAAACACATATTTCAGCTTTTTCCCACAATTACAAAAAAATTATCGACGATTTCTTTCTTTTAAGTTTGAGGAATATGGTGACATCTTTTAAAACAATTGAATGAAAAACAAAATCAAAACAAATAAGCAAGACAAAATTCATATAACCCAAATGAAATCGAAAAAACCCTAGAAACAATTTTGTGAGAATACACGAATGAAATCAAAAAGAACCCTTAATCATTTAATATCAATGCAAAATCGTGAAAATATTCAAACAAAAACCTAAATGAAATAAAAAAGAACACTTGTTTACATGAAATTTTAGAACACAAACATTGATTGATTCCAAATCAAATCCCTCAATTTTTTTTTTGAAGAAAGTCTTTATATAAAATGTCTGTTGCAAATGTGGAAAAATGACACTGTTTAAATTTCACGTGAAAAATAAGGGGAAAATGAGTTTTATTTATTTCAAAAAATTATTTGTTTAAAATGTCACGTGTCATTTTGCTAGTGGTTATAGAATTTCATGTCACTTTCTATGATAGAAGTGGATGAATCCGTTAACGATAGAAAACATTATGTATGTATAAAACTGAAAATTTTAAAATATTATGTATGAAATTGAAAATTTAATATACTTTCATGTGTGAATGGAATAATTAACCCTAAAGTTATTCTCCTATATTCATACTTTTATCGTTCGTGATTGTTTACATAAATGCGTACTTTTATCTTTATAATAATTTTTCTTTACTTGATGTTATCTTAATTGACTAATCCAGATCGGGTGTTGTAAAGGTGAGGGTAATCTTCTCGGCCTAATTTGTTCCATCCGTAATGACCAATATTTAAATCCTTGACTTTAGTTAAGAGATTTAGTGCCTCATCCCACTACACAAATAGATTGTTGGTAAATTCAATCATTTTTAATCAATGTGATTTATCATTTAGTCCAAAATTTAGTATATTAATCAAATATATTAGACAAGGGCTAAGTCAAAGATCTCCATAATTAATTACCCAAAACAGAGAAGAAATGCCTTCAAAATCGCAACAGATAAACAATTCAAATTAAAAAAATAGGAATTTGACATAACAGAAACCCCAATTTTCATGCAACACCCGGGACTCAATCGTCTACTTCTGCCTTCCATAATGTGTGTTTCACGTAGATTGTTAAAGGAGCTTCGCAGCCATAGAGCTCCCCCTTTTATACGGTTCAAAGAAGATTGCTAGTATCTTCTAGACATACATTTCGGTCCGGCAAAAATCATTTTGGACTGATTGCTTAACGAGCAACGACGGAGGCAATGTCGATATCGAAACGTATCCTTTTAGTAACCTTTTTGTCAACCCTGTTGATTGCTTCCAGATTTGCACAAGGCAATAATACGACCGATGGCGGCGAGGAGGAGGAGGAGGACGGTAGCGCAGATGAAGAGGTAAAGGTTGCCAATGCGAATACAGGCGTCACGTACGACGGACGATCTTTGATCATTAATGGCAAACGAGAGCTTGTGTTTTCGGGTTCCATTCATTACCCTCGTTGCCCCCCAGAGGTAATGTTGTGCAGTTGTGCTAATATGCTTTTCATGTGACTGATGCTAGTATGTTGTGCTGGACTATTTGGAGTGCAGTACTGGGAGGACCTCATTGGCAAGGCTAAACGTGGAGGCCTCAATGCGATTGAGACGTACGTTTTCTGGAACGGTCATGAGCCGGAGAAGGGGAAGTACTATTTCGAAGGAGATTATGACTTGATAAAGTTCATTAAGTTGATCCACAAGCATAAAATGTTTGCGATCGTGAGGTTCGGTCCGTTTGTCCAGGCTGAATGGAACCATGGGTAAAGGTTCAAAGACTTTCTCACATCCTTATTCAATCCACACAGCTTCAAACATTCCTAACACCGTAGCTTTTATCATGTTGACCTTTCAGAGGATTGCCTTATTGGCTAAGGGAGGTTCCCGGCATAATATTCCGTTCCGATAACGAACCGTTCAAGGTAATCTAACATAAGCAGAAATCATAAGATGACTCGTAAGTTTCTATAACGAACTCTTTTATGTTGTGCAGCATTACATGAAGAAGTTCGTTACCATGATCGTTGACAAACTGAAAGGAGAGAAGTTGTTTGCTTCTCAAGGAGGACCTATCATTGTAGCTCAGGTTTGATTGATAATACTCTAATTCTCCCATGAAGCCTAGATATATCATTGATTCTAGTTTTGGTTCATCATACGTTTCGTAGATCGAGAACGAATACAACACTATTCAACTAGCATTCAGAGAAAAAGGAGAAAGCTATATTCAATGGGTTGCAAAGACAGCCGTCGACATGAACATCGGTGTCCCATGGATGATGTGCAAGCAGAAGGATGCACCAGATCCAATTGTATGTTTATCATTAACTATAAGGAAAATGTATGCATTTTTTGTTGCTTTATTAGTAATTTACACTTTCATTGTTATGCAGATCAATTCCTGCAATGGCAGACACTGTGGAGATACTTTTGTCGGTCCAAACAAACCCAACAAGCCTTACCTGTGGACCGAGAATTGGACTGCACAGTAAGCGTTTGAAGACGTTCACTCGAAAATTCAGAAGTTGTGTATTTTCAGGCTAATGATGTGATTGTTTCATTCTGGTTCAGGTACCGAGTATTTGGAGATCCGCCATCTCAACGGTCCACGGAAGATTTGGCATACTCGATCCTTCGGTGGTTCTCCAAGAATGGAACTTTGGCTAACTATTATATGGTAGGAGGAATGACAATCTTCACTAAATGGCAGCCTTTTTAGACATAGTTCTCACCGTTCCGTTTTCCCTGTTTTGCAGTACTACGGTGGCACAAACTATAACAGAACAAGCGCGGCTTTCGTGTCGACACGATACTATGACGAAGCCCCTATCGATGAATATGGTAGGATTATGAAACATGTTTATCTGATGACCATTGGATTGAAGTCTTTTATACAAGCTAGTGACATATTTTTCTCTGGATACTGTAGCATTAATCAGAGAACCAAAGCATGGCCATCTCAAGGACGCTCATAGGGCAGTAAGCTTGTGCAAGAAGGCACTACTTTCAGGGACTCCTTTGGTCGAAAAGTTGGGCCCTAAGCTAGAGGTAAGCGTTTATATATACAATAATCTAGCTGATTCAATCGAAGGAATCGGTTATGGTTACTTGGAGCTTAAGCTATTCTACAATGCAGGCTCGAGTCTGGCAGGTGCCGGACACAGCAATCTGTGCTGCTTTCTTAGCCAACAATGACACGTCTACACCGGCTACGGTTCGTTTCAAGGGAGGAGAATATTATCTGCCAGCTAACTCCATTAGTGTCCTCCCTGACTGCAAGACCATGGTTTACAGCTCCCACTTGGTTATCCCTCGAACCGTTCTTTTATATCATCTGATATCTACATTTATGTGCTCGTTCGACACGGTTAAACATCATTTGATTGTTTAACACAGATCACAGCACAACATAACTCAAGAAACATGGAAAGATCAAAAGTTGCTAACAATTTTGAGTGGAAGATGTACAAGGAATCTCTTCCAACCCAATTTAAAAATAAGGCCAACCAGCCGGTGGAGTTCTATTATTTGACCAAAGATATAACGGACTACGCTTGGTACTCGACCACCTTCCCTTTGAGTGAACGCGACATGCCACTTAAAAAGGATGTCCGACCGATCATTCGGATCGCGAGTGAAGGCCATGGTATTTATGTCTTCGTGAATGGCGAATACATAGGTTTCGGACATGGTAGCAAAGTCGAGAAGAACTTTGTGTTTCAGAGAGATGCAAATTTTAAGACTGGGAAAAACACCATTCATCTCTTGTGTTACACTGTGGGATTTCATGTGAGTCTTTCTTGCAACTTAAATGATACTTAAAACAAGCATACCGATGAGAAATTTTCTTCTTCATGAATTATAGGATAGCGGTGCCTACTTGGAGCGTAGGTATGCCGGGCCTCGTTCGGTCACCATTCTCGGTTTAAACACCGGTACGGTCGATATATCGATGATCGGTTGGGAAACCCTGGTGGGAATCGAGGGAGAAAAGAAGCAAATATACACCGAGAAAGGCTCACAATCAGTACATTGGGCAACTCTTACCGGTGATAAACCCCCTATAACATGGTACAAGGTAAAATCTAAATCCACAAAACCTGGGAATTGAATTTCAACGTTAAAAAGAAAATACTCTAACATGTCGTTTTTATAGGCATATTTTGATGCACCTGAAGGGAACAACCCCATAGCCATTAGAATGACTAACATGGGCAAAGGCATGGTGTGGATCAATGGAAGAAGCATTGGCCGATACTGGATGTCTTACTTGTCTGCTCTTAAACAACCAACTCAATCAGAGTACGTCTAGACCACGACACACACACCGATTGTCGCATTAGGCCCCGATTCCCGGCTAAATCCGTTATTCATGCGTCGTGTTTTCAGGTACCACATCCCAAGGACATACATAAAACCAGAAAAGAACTTGATCGTGGTGTTCGAGGAAGAGGGAGGCAATCCTATGGAAATCGAGATCGTACTGGTCGACAGGAACACGATCTGCAGTCTCGTAAGCGAAAAACACACGCCGTCACCGAGGCTATTCAAGAGCGTAAACGGAAACCTACGTGCGAAGTCGAATGAGTTGAAGCCCAAGGCAAAACTAGTATGTCCCAAGGAGAAGAAGATCGTCTCCGTCGACTTCGCCAGCTTCGGAGATCCCTACGGGACTTGCGGAAACTTCTTCTTCGGCAACTGCACGTCCACGGTATCCAAACAAGTTGTGGAGAAATTCTGCCTGGGAAAACCGGACTGCACGGTTCCGGTGGACAAGGGGCACTTCGGCGGCCAAAACGATGCTTGTTCCAATCTGAAGAAGAAACTGGCCGTCCAAGCCCAGTGTGGTTAGCAGCTTGACAACATTTCCGGGCATTGGGACAGAGCCGAAAACTAGTTTCTGAACCATTAACATTTTGTAATAGGATAATTGTTCACTTTCCAAACATCGGAATTTATTTATTTATTTTATTCATCCAAATTTTGTTTTGTATATATTTGTCTGTCTCTCTTAACACAAACACACTCGTGTGTCTGTATATTCAATTTTGAACAAATAAACAAGCCAAAATGGCCATTTTGCAGACTCATTATCATCTGGAAAGCCATAAAAGTAAAAATGTATTATAAGTATATATTCATATATAACTCTCAACATTTAGATATTGAAGGTTTTTCTAACGTCTATGGTGCTCGAACCTAAATCCTCAAAGAATAACAACAATTTCTTTATTACGGAAGTTAGTTGGTGTTGTGCTATGTATGTTGTGATATGTATTTCATATAGATGATTGAAACAAGGGTTTAGAAGGTATAATATAAAAGTGGCCCCCAATATTTATTAGGTCTCTTATTCTAATTTTTTTAGACAATTTAATCCTCAACTTTTCACTTGAGACAAAATGATCTCCTTATAGATGAAAATCAAACACACGATTAACACTCCAAGATAAGAGTTTTTTTAACTTAAAATAAAACGTTGAGGGCTAAAATACCCCTGTAAAAATAAGAGATAAAGTGATTATTCTTTTAAATGTTAGGACTTTTTTGACCTAAAATTAAACGTTGGAGGCTTATTTCAAAAAAAATAGAATAAAAGACAAAATAACCATTTTTATAAACATCCAAAAAAAATTTAACATCACGCCTACAATAAAATTTATTTTCAAAAAATATACAATAGCTTTAAAATAAAAAAAATAGTGTTCAAATTTATTATTCAAACTTTATTCGATTCAATTCGAAAAGATGATAATATAGCCTATTCATAGAGAATTAAATTTAAATAAAAAATTAGAATCTATGATGATGCTATCTAAAGAGACTTATAATATTGTTGTTCATATGATAAATTTTTTATATTGTATCTAGTAATTTTGACATCAAAAGTAAAACCAGTGTAAAAAATAGTAGGAAAGGTGAAAAAGTAGGTGAATTGTGACATATATATGCTACCATCCACTTGATTTTAATGATGATGAGGTAAGAGAGAATTAAAGATAGGAAAAGTCATGTGTAGTAGTTGGTAAGTAACAAATACTAATAGGGAAATTTGTAGGCTAATATTCAAAAAGTTTATATTATAAACAAGTATCTAAAGTTTATTTTTTTATTTATCTAAAATATTTTTTGTTAAAATAAATACTTAAATTTATCTTTCTGGTACGTATTTAATTTTTTTTATCTAAGTTCTAAAAAATTGACATGTGATATTAATTAAATAATACTTCAGATACTTAGATGAAAAAATCAGATACTTTAGATACCTATTTTGATAGAAAAATAAGTTTTAATATTTATTTTAACTAAAAAATAGTTTAAATATTTAAATGAAATAATAATATACTTTAAGCAATTGTTTTTGATATAAGTCGTATTCAAATGAGGGTAAAGCTTGGTAACTAGGAGGCTATATATTAAAGGTTTGGGAAAAAGCAAAGAAATTGAAGTTTATCTTAGGGGTATATATGTATTAAGAGTTTTAGTTCAGTTGACATACATGGGTATTATAGATATGAATGATTTTTTTAGATTAATCATTAGTATTTAATTTATTAATTAAAATTAAAATTTGTTCTTTTAATTTTATTTGAAAGATTTAGTGTTTCATCTCATTTGATCAATTAATTACTAATGAATAATTTTAAATATAATTATCTTTTATTTAAAGACTTGAAAAAAATATAGATAATTTAGATATTATATTTCAATAATGTGTTTTATATGGTTCATAGATAATGTATAAGTTAGTGTATTAAAAATATATTTAAATAATTATTATATTAGGGGTTAGATCCTCACCCACTTTATTTAATGTATTAATTTATTTGAATTATTTTTCTATGAACATCAAGAGTGATTATTCTTTAATGGCTTGGAACGAATCAAGTAGTCTCAATGATTAAAAAGACAATGATTATCCCAAAAGTTTTAGATACGAACACCAATGATTATAGTATATTTTTAATACATTAAATAAAGTGGGCGAGGATCAAACCCCTAATATAATAATTATTTAAATATATTTTTAATATACTAACTTATATATTATCTATGAACATCAAGAGTGATTATTCTTTAATGGCTTGAAACGAATCAAGTAGTCTCAATGATTAAAAAGATAATAATTATCCCAAAAGTTTTAGATACGAGCACCAATAATTATAGTATATTTAAATTTTAATTATCAAATGATTGACAGTCTTTAAAACAGATATTATCACTTATTATCGTTTTAAATTAATTAAAAAATTAAAAAAAAAGTGGCAGGTGAACCAATGACCAAAAGCAACAAAAACCCAACCTCCAAGTCTTCTAGAAACCCTCATCTTCCCCCTATCTTTAATAGTATACGATTCTCTATATGCATTATATGGTATAATTATAGTCTTATAGATCCTTAGTATACCAACCCAATAAAGAATCACAACTACCATCTCCCTTTTTTATTTATTTGTTTACCTTTATGTTGAGCGGTCATTGTAATTATCATTAAACCTAGAGTATATTTAAATTAGTTTTCACGAGCATAGACCGACTTATCTCAGTAGTTAAAAAATTTATTATTGTTTTTAGAGATCACGGGTTCGAACATCAACAACTACAGCAAGTTGATTGAATGTTCATTGCCAAATGATTAAGAGTATTTAAAACACATACTACTTTTTTTATATAATCATTGATATTCGATCTATTTGATTGACTAATCCGAATCAGATACTGCAAAGGCAATGGCGACCCTCTTACCCAGTTTGCTTCATTCGCAATTGTCAAGATTCGAACCTCTGACATTGTTTAAAGGATCTAGTGTCTTATCCCACTAGAGAAACTGGTTTGGTGGTAGAATAGATATTACTTTGTAATCACTTTAGTTTAATAAAAAAATAGTTTTAGGGTAAACTATATATTTAGTACCTAAACTTTCAATTTTTTTAAACACATACTTAACATTTAGTTTTCATTTCATTTTAGTGTCACACAGTTAAAAAACTTATTGTGTTTAGTACCTAAACTATCAGTTTTACTCCGTTTTAATATCTAAACTATCAATTTTTCAAAACCTAAAATTAAGTTTTGAACTAAATACTAAAATGAAACAAAAACTAAAGTTTTTATCGAAGGATACAATGTAGTAATTTAAACAAGTATAATCATTTAAAAGTTCGTTCATATAAAGGTATAACATTTAAAATGACCTAATAATAATTTAACGTTTTTGAAACGGTTCAAATATGAGAATAATCTTTCAGAAAATCAATTAATGCTTTAATATTTTTTAATCTACTCAAATAAGAACATAACCCTTCAAAATGTTCAAAGAAATGCCTAATATTATGAAGCCTACTTAAACAAAAATCAAGGGTAAAGAACCCCAAATCATCCCCTAACTATATGGTATTACTTTATTAATTCTTTTGACTATTAAAAGTTATAAAATGATCATTTGACTATGGAGTGTTGCTTTGTTGAATCCCTCGACTATTAAAAGTTACAAAATGATCACCTGACTATTAATTATATTTCAAACTCGTACTTTTCCATTAAAAAATTGAGAGTTGTTTTAACTGGATGTTAACATGATGACTGAGATACAATAGTCGTTTGAGATTTTGGAATCTAATTTTATCATATCACAATCAACAAGTTAACTTTCAGCTCGGAAGATCTTCTATTTTTTAATGGGAAAGGACAAATTTGGAACACAATGAATTGTTGGATTATTGTTTTCTAATTTTTAATAGTCGATAGACTCAACAAAGTAACATTCTATAGTCAAAAGATCATTTTGTAATTTTTAACGGTGGATGTAATTTTAAAAGGTTAGCATTTTATTTTAGTAAATTTGAAACATTTTATATTTTAGTGTTTATAATTGTTCTCTCAAATATTTTATAATTTGATATTTAAATTTCGTACATATGTGTCACAATAATATATATTTAAAATTTTCAGAGTGACATCCCCTTAATTCGATTAGTCTGTATATATATGCATAAGATCAGCAGCATAGCAACAAGATATAGATTCCATTGCTGTAATCTGGACTTTTCTTTCTTTTTCTCTGGGTATATCTGATGGGAAGGTCTCCTTGTTGTGAGAAAGCTCACACCAACAAAGGTGCATGGACCAAGGAAGAAGACAATCGCCTCATAGCTTACATCCGAGCCCACGGCGAAGGTTGCTGGCGCTCCCTCCCTAGAGCCGCCGGCCTCCTCCGCTGCGGAAAAAGCTGCCGACTCCGGTGGATCAATTACTTAAGATCTGACCTTAAACGTGGCAACTTCACTGAAGAAGAAGATGACCTCATTATCAAGCTCCATAGCCTTCTTGGTAACAAGTAAGGAACCCCTCTTTTTCCCATTTATAATTGCCTCGACTTTCACTGGATATCATAATATAAATTTTGGATTAATTGCTTCAAACGTCCCCAAACTATGGGATGTTCAAAATCTGATCACTTGTCTTATTGGAGCTAAAGTTTAATGCCCAAATTAACGATTAAACCAATAAAAGGATTAGATGAACATGATAGGGATATTATGAGGACTCAAATAGAATGTGTAAAGACTTAGTTTAAAGACATGCAATTAATCTGTAAATATTTTAAAATACTGCTTGATTTTTTTCCCTTTCTATTTAAGTAGGTGGTCTCTTATAGCTGCAAGATTACCGGGAAGAACAGACAATGAGATAAAGAATTACTGGAACACACATGTAAGAAGGAAGCTACTGCGTCGAGGGATCGACCCCTCGACTCACAGGCTGCTCAACGAAACTGCAGCGGCTCACGATGTTAACACGATATCTTTCACCGGTGCTAAAGATGCTGCGAAAGATTACCCTATTGAAATATCCCTAAAAAAAGATGAGAATATGAAGAAAATCTCAGTTGAAGAAAGGTGCCCAGACTTGAATTTGGATCTCAAAATTAGTCCCCCGACAGAGCCATCGACAGAAACCGGCAGGAAGTCGACTCTTTGTTTCGTTTGCAACCGGGGAGTGAATAACAGCAAAGAGTGCAGTTGCTGCAACTTTGCTGCTACTGCTCATGGCAGCTCTAGCAGGCAATGGAAACAGTAATGGTTATGAGTTCTTAGGGGTTTTTGGATTTTAGAAGTTTGGAATTGAAATAAAGAGAAATTAGTTTTTTTCCTTTAAATTATAATATATGAAAATGTGCAAACACGAGTTGAACAATTACATCATATATAAGCACTAAAAAGAAGAAAATATAAGTCTTGAAAGTAGCTAAAACTCAAATCGACATAACCAAATACGTTTCGACCGCAAAGGGATGCCCGGGGCGATGGAGATACGAGACATCAAACTACGTTTCTTTAGGGGCCGGGGCCGGGGGCTTCTTTGCAGCCTCTGCAGCTGCTTTCTCGGATTCAATCTCAGCAACAATAGCATCGATTTCGGCTTCTTCTAGTTGCCGCAGTCCATGCTCTTTTGTCATCACGGCTACTTCTATGTTCTTTCCACCACTCTCGACAACCTAATTGTTAGAGAAAGAAAAGTGGAAATCAAAGGCTAATACATGATCACCAACCATTAGCAAAACATTATAAAATCACCATTGCCACTGAAAATTTTGTTCCACGAACACAATAACCAGTGTATGCGGAGCAATAGAACACAAGTAACCAAAAACAGGCAGAACTACATTTGACACCGAACCACATTATCATGACGAATACTAAGCAGTCTAGGCTCTAGATTGCAGCTCAGTTCAACTTTACACTATTTTGTTTTTAATTAGCTTTTGAGCTTTCTTATAAATGTCTCGACATCAAGTTACAGTAACAGCACTCTCAGAAGTTACAGCAAGAAACAAGTTGAGATAGTTTCAAATGGGTAAATTGTTTATGTACAACCAGTGGGATTGGGGTGGGTGGTGTTTGACTGCAGTTCACCCCTTTGGATTTGAGTGGAGAGCCGTTAGAGAGGACTTGGAGACGTCGGTTAATGGCAGTTCACTCGATTCTGTTTGGGCGGAGAGCTGCTGGAGAATGATGGCGACCGGAAGTAGGGGCACAGTATCAACTCTCTCTCCTCTAGAGGGATACTGTCATCCCCCAACCCCCGTCGGTTCTAAGCCCAAACCAGATGGGGTGAACCGTCATTGACCTGTCTCCAAGTCCTCCCCCAGCAGTTCTCCGACCAAACCCAAAGGGATTAACCACAATTAAAAACCACAAACCTCCATCCCACTAATTGTACATCAACAGTAACGATCAATTTAATATCTCTTTCTTTATGTCCACGGAATGTTCATGCAACGCGGTCAGTAACTCATATGAGCATTCCTCTATAAACCATAATATAAACACATGAAACACTATACACACAAACGAAACACCGCGTTTTATAAGAAGAAACAGCTCCACGTTAAGTATAACTAATGAATACTGGAGCAAATAGATCACACAATCTATTCGAGACAAGCAAATCCAATATAGATCACATCGGTTTCGTTAATGTAAAACTACTAAACCAAAGCCATTCATGCACAAGTGAAAAGCAAAACTCACTTCAAGCAAAGCGCGAATCGCTAACTTCACCGTTTCCTGTCCAGAAGATTCTTTATAATTCTTCTCCAGAAACTCCCTCATCGAATTAGAGTTTCTCCCAGTTGCATTAGCTTTCCAAGCTGAAAATGTCCCAGATGGATCGGTCTGGTACAGAGATGGAACACCGGTATAGGGATCAAACCCGATGATCAACGTGGAAAGACCGAATGGCCTAACACCGCCGCTCTGCGTATACTTCTGTTGCAGACCAGCAATGTATCGTGTTATATATTCAACAGTTACAGGATCCTCAACCGTAAGCCTATGGCTCTGGCATTCGATTCGAGCCCTATTAATCAAGACTCGAGCATCGGCTTTTAAACCCGCGCAAGCCAGAGCAACATGATCATCCAAAGACACGATCTTTCTAACGCTTCTGTTAGTACAAACGATAAATAAATCACGGTAAGCACATAATTTGAAAATCCCATCATTACAAAAGTGGCGATTCGATAGATTAACCCTAATTTGAGAAGATCGTGTGAAAGGGGAATTTGTACCTGGAGTCTTGGAGCTTGGCGGCAGATTTTTTCTCGACGCCGAGGACGACGATATCGGTGCCGCGGACACCGACTGCGGCGTTACCTTTACGGACGGCTTCGAGCGCGTACTCCACTTGGAACAAATGACCATCAGGGGAGAAAACTGTAATTGCCCGATCATATCTCGCCATTTTTCGGTAAGCTTTTTCTCTAAATAACAAAAATTAGGCCTTTGAAAAGGTGAAGAGAGGAGTGATTTTAACTGTGAGAACTTGGGGGCCAAGCCAAGACACCGAGAAGACTGCGTGCCATGAAAATCTTTAAAACGACGGCGTTTAACTTACTTTTATTTTTGGGTAAAGTACCTATTTAGTATCTAAACTGTCAGTTTTGATTTATTTCAGTATCTAAACTTTCAAGTTTTTCAAAACCATACCTAACGTTTTTCATTTTAGTACTCCACAGTTAAAAACTTAACGCGTTTAGTACATGAACTATCCGTTTTGATCCATTTTAGTACCTAAACTTTATATATTTTTTAAAAATTTAACGTTAAATTTTGAACGATGAAACCAAAATGAAATAAAAACTAAACTTTAGGTATGGTTTTATAAAATATTGAAAGTTTAGGTACTAAAACAAATTAAAACTGATAGTTTAGGTATTAAATACTTAATTTACCCTTAGAATTAATTGTGTAAATATTATAACATTGGACCAAAAGTGTCTTTCCTTAGAATTGTGTAAATAATTTGATTAATAATTATAAAAGGTCCCTATACTTTCCTTTTGGTATGGATTTTAGTCCTACATTTTGATGGATTAAAGTACACTATAGGTCACTAAACTATGTAAAAAGATCTTTTTGGTTAGATATCTTTCAAATATTACAAAATGATCGTTAAACTTCTTGAATAGTTACAAAATAGTCCCTATAATATTAATAGTAATACTTTTATAAGTTTAAGGATTATTTTATAATATTTTGATAAGATTAAAGACCTTTGTATAATATTTTGATAAATTTTAGTGATCATGTTATAATTATTTAGTTAGTAGTTTTTCAAATGTTATAAAATACATATTCCAAAAGGATAGAAGATTAGAAATTATCAAATTAAATTAGTAAAGTACAATACAAATAATTAAATGATATAAAACTAATCTTTTTAGTTAGTAATTTTTAAATATTATAAAATAATTATTAATATATTTTAAAATATCACAATACACAAATTAATCACTAAAGAGAAAAACAATACCATATGACAAAAGGATTAAAAATTCAACCAAATAATTTGATATAATGATATATAAACAAACATAATTGTCGATGATGAACGATAAACATCATCAACACTAACATAAAAATTCATATAACAATGAATTAATGATAGCATGTTGACAAACTGACTTTATTATGCCGTAACCGTGACATACCACTGGCGATTGTAAATATCTATCAATATAATAGAACTAGTTCAATATTTCCAAACAAGTATAGATCAACAAGATAACCAAATAGAGGCTAATTATAAAAACCAATTCTTCTTCTTCTTACTTTACGCTACGTTTTCTATAAAAATACAAATTTTACTTAGATTGAGCTCAAGATCTCCCACTTACTAAACGAGGTGCTTTAACTAACTGAGTTATCAGAGCTTGTTGAGCATCGTGTATTTATATTGTATCGGGATTTGTCCCTTGATATCAGAGCAACTTAAACAAATATTTAATTGATTTTCAATACATTTAATTCAACTAAACTTGAAAATGGTTTGATCAAAAGAGGCTCAATATGTTTGCTTAGGCAAGCCCCGCTTGATAAAAGTTGGTCAATTTTTTTTTGGCGATAAAAAATATAGGAAGTATTTATTTGAGTTTAAAGTCGATATTGAATGGTTGACAATCAACTGATTTAGTGGGATGAGTTATTAGATTTCTTAAGCAATGTCAGATGTTTGAATTTTGATTTTTGCATATAAAGCAAACTAAGCTGGGAGGGTTACTCCATAATGAGCCTCTACAACATCTAATTCAGATTAGTCGGTGATCCTGTAACCTGACATTATTCATGTCTTTAAAAAATTATAGAATGATCATTAAATTCATTGAATTGTTATAAAACGATGACTATGATATCATAATAAGTATAAAAATTCAATAAATTTAACAATGATTTTGTAATAGTGTAATAAAAATAATGATCATTTTGTGATAGTTTGTTAAATTTTAACAGTTATTTTATAATAATTCAATAAATTTAATTATTATTTTATGATATTGGAATATTTAATAAGTAAAACGATTATTTAAACAATTATTTACATAATTAGTTGGTCTAGTGGGATGAGACACTACATCCCTTAAGCAATGTAAGGGATTTAAATCATGACGATTGTAAATGGAGCAAACCGAGTTAGTAGAGTCGTCATTCCTTCTGTAATACCCGATCTGGATTAGTATATCAATAGATCAGATACTATGGTTATAAAAAAAAACTAGAAAATTAGTAACTACCATATGGGTTTACATGTTGGATAACGTAAGTGAAATTAATCATCCGAAAAGGACTACTCACCAATTAAATCCATTATGTTTTTGGTGTCATGAGCTGGCAAACTTGGGGTCTACCAAGAAAGGAAAAGTTAATTCAAATGGGTACCAAAAGCCATTTCATTTGTCTCATCTTTTATTTTTTTCTATAATTATCGATATTTAATTTATTAATCTAAATAAGATAGTATAAAGTTATATTATCAAACAGGTCCTTAAATCTCTTACATATATTCACATTGTTAAAATTCGTACCATAGCTTTATTTAAAAGACGTGACACTATGATTTGACTGAATTCGTTATGTATTGTGTATTCGTTATGCGTAAATAATATGGACAAGAGAAAGAAGAAGACTGAACAAGTTTTGCTAGAGAAAATAATCCAATTTAGGGTTTGATTACCCCACAAGCAATTATTAGAGCTTTCGTTAAAAGAAAGAGTTGGTCCATACTTAGTAGTGATAATTCGAATAAAAA